GACTGCACCCCAGGAACCCGGGGTCATGATCTGAGCCGACGGCAGATGCTTACGGGGCCACCCAGGTGTCATTCAACTTTTTTAAAACACTCAACAAACAAGGCACAGGGGTCGTCACGTGCCCGTTTCTCCCCATACTACCATGCGATTAACTCAGTTCTGACACCACTCCGCTACGACGTCAGATCACACACGGGAAGGGATCGGTCCTACAAGACGGCCCTCCCCGACTCCAGTCACCAATCCGGGTTGTCACCCATGCTTCCGACAGAATGGCAGATCAGGCAGTGCCACAATCCCCTCCTGGGTGTGATTAAATTGCTAGAGTGACTGGATTAACTCGGGACAGACGGAAGAGATGCCTAGGGAAAGGTATGGGGGAAGGGCACAGGGCTTCCATCCTCTCTGGGCAAGCCACTCTCCCCACATCGCCGTGTGTTCATGAACCCAGAAGCTCCATGAACCCTCGTTTTGGGGTTTTACAGAGGTTCAGTTCATAAGCATGACTGACTGAACCTGCAAACCCTCTCTCCCCACCAGAGGTCAGAAGGGAGGACCGGAAGCTCCAATCCCTCCCCCACAAGGTCTTTCTGGTCACCACCCCCATCCAGAGGCCCCACCCTAAGTTACCTCATTAGCATCAACTCCGAGTGTTCCAAAGGGACTCTTAATGATTGAGGAGACAATGCCATCACTCAGGAGACCCCTGGGGACTTACGAGCTCTGCCAGAACCTGGGGGCCAAGACCATGTGCGCTCCTCATTACAGCACAGATGGAAACTACCTTCACAGAGTCAAAGCCCTATAAGCAAGCCTCCAGCAAGACTGAGAGCTTTTCCTCCGAGATCAGGAACAAGACAAGGAAGCCCATTCTTCTCTTCTGCACACAGCGGGGAAGTTCTAGCAGGAGCAATCAGGCAACAGAAAAGTAAGAGCACAAAAACTGGAAAGGGAGAAGTAAATTGACCTCTGTTTGCAGATGATACAGAAAACCCTAATGATTCCACAAAAACGCTGTCAGAACTAATAAATTCAGTAAAATGGGACACAAAACTCAGTTGCATTTTTACACACAAGCAATGAACAATCCAAAAAAGAAATCGAGACAAGAGTTGCATTTTACAGTAGCATCAACAATGAAACACTTCAGAGTAAGCCTAGCAGTAAGGAGAAAGACTTGGGACACCAAAAACCACAAAACAGTGCTGAAGGGGATTAAATGGGACAAACGTAGTAGAACATCCCATGTGTTGGGCTAGAAGGCTTAATACTGCCGTGTTAATTCATCTGACCCAACCTACAGATTCCATGCAATCCCTACCAAAATCCTAATGACATGGTTTGCAGAAACAGAAATACCCATCCTAAAAATCATCTCGAGGGACGTAGAATAGCCAAGCCACCTGGAAAAAGAACAAAGCTAACAGAAAGAAAAAAGTAACAGAAAAATGAGATGTTGGCATAAAGACAGACAACATGAAGTCCAAGAGAATAGAGAGCCCAGAAACCAACCCTCCCGTGGCGTCCTATGGTTCTTAGCGAGGGCGCTAAGATCATCCAATGGGGAAAGGTTGTTCTTTCCAGCAAGCGGTGCTGGGAAAACCAGATATCCACACGCAAAAGGATGAAGTTGGACCCCTACCTCACACCATATACAAAAATTAACCCCACATGCATCAAAAGCCTAAATGTAAAGGCTGAATTTATAAAACTCTCAGAAGAGAAAATAGAGGGTAAAACTCGACCACGTTGTATTTGACAAGGATTTTCTGGATCCGGCACCACAGGCAATAAAAACAAGCCAAGGGCCGTCTGTGCGTGAACGGACACACCAAATGTGGTCAGAATGGCAGGACAGAAGGTGGAAGGCCGGGAGCCAGGGGCTGGGGGTCAGTGCTTACCGGGGGCAGAGTGCTCTCTTACAAGATGAGGGCGGTTCTGGAGCTGGACGGTAGAGACGGTTGCACACAACGCGAGTGTAATTCGTATCAATGAACCGTACGCTTAGCGGTCAGGGTGGTAAGTGTCCGGTTATATGTAATTCACCCCAGTATAAAACTGGGAAAGAGAGAAATGTCACTGTGGCACCTACTACAAAGGCATGAACTTTGGAAACACCAAGCTGAGTAGAAGGAACCCGTTACAAAACACCACAGGCCACGTGATTCCAGGACCGGAAGTCCAAACCAGGTAACCCCACAGAGACTGTAGGGGGCCGAGCGGGGGCTGGCTGGAGAGTGGCTGCTGATGGGCGGGACAGGCCCCAGAAGTAGGCAGGCGTGGCACAGCATGGGGTGTACTAAATCCCACAGAATCATTCACTTTACGGTGGTTATACATTCTATGTTATGGGCACTCTGCACAATTTTTTATAAAATTTTTTAAAAGATTTTATTTATTTATTTACAGACAGAGATCACAAGGAGGCAGAGAGGCAGGCAGAGAGAGAGGAGGAAGCAGACTCCCCGCTGAGCAGAGAGACCGATGCGGGGCTCGATCCCAGGACCCTGGGATCATGACCTGAGCCGAAGGCAGCGGCTTAACCCACTGAGCCACCCAGGCGCCCCCCCAACACTATTTTTTTAAAGATTAATTTATTCCAGAGAGCAAGCGAGTGGGCGCGTGCACGGTGGGGAGGCAGAGGGTGAGGGAGAATCCTCAAGCAAACTCCCCACTAAGCACAGGACCCGTCTCGGGGCTCGACCCACGACCCCAAAATCATGACCTAAGTCAAAACCCAGAGTTGGACACTCAGCCAACTGAGCCACCCAGGGGCCCCAGTCCACACACTTGGGCAGCAGGAGGTGCTGGAAGGTGTTCAGCTAAAAGCAGACGCAGCCCCGGGTGGAGCGAGGTGGCCCTTGTGGCTGCCCGTGCCCAGGTGCCACCACGGGACCACATTTCTGCTGCCTGTCATCTCTGGCCGCCGTCCGCCAATCCATCCAGCCCCCTTCACACGTCCCTGACACAGCTCAGGGGCGCAGTTCACGTGGCACCTGTCGGACCCTCTCACTCCCCGGGCGTCAGGCTGCTGCTTGAGGCCAAGAACTCGGAACACGAAAGCCCACGCAGGCACCAAACCATACAGCACACCCAGTCCGTGGTGGCCGTCAGTGGCTGGAACTGTCCGAAATGAGCGTGGGAATCAAGCCAAAAGAGTAAAATCCCGGGGAGACACCTGCACTCAAAGAGCCCAGGAGCCCGGGATCCCCTCATGAGACGGGCACTCTGCTCACAGCCCTGGGCAGCGAGGTGAGCCCGTTCTCCTGAGCGCCTGGTGCTCAGGTGCGGACGTGTGGATCGGTGGGCAGGGAGACACCGGTCAACGGCCCTCAGCCCGTGCCTGGGACTCAGCCAGGGCCCAGGGCCGGTGGGATGATCAACCACGAGGACACAGGCAGGCGGGACAGCCAGGGCGGTGCTGCTTCAAGTTCACATTCCTACATTCCCCTGCGGTGACACAATCGGCCACGCCCACTCCCACCTGCGGCAGGGACCCCAGGCCACGCAAGGCCAGGCCCGGCCTGGGGGGCGTCCAGGCTGGCTTCCCTCCGAGGCTCCTCCGCGGCTGCCAGGGTCCCTGCAGGCCATTCTGTCAGAGTCACCATGTCTGCACCTCGGGGCCCACCCGGGCCCTCCTGGCCCCCACGGCGTGTCCCACCTCATAACTCTCTCTGGACCCACATCCTGGCAGCGCCCAAGCCGCATGCTCAGCGAACCGTGCAACCGCACACGTGCCCTGGCCCATGTGGCCGCCCCTTCCCCGGAGGGGCCACTGCTGGAACCTTCTTTTCCACGGGACACCTCCTCAGTGCAGCTCCCGGCCTCCGACTCTCAGCCGCAGCCCCCTCCCAGCCTCGCCGCTCCCCCCCACCCCCCCCACCCCAGGCTACACCGATCCCGTGTTTATGGGGCCTATCACCTGCCCCCCAGCTAGGAGGTCCTAGGGCGCCCGCGGCCCCCCACCCGGCCTGTGTGCCGCACACACAAGCAGGACTAAGGGAAGGAACATGTCCCTGTGCTCCTTACGCTCTCCCCAAAACCGCCCCTCTGTCCACTGCCTATAGGACAGCTGTGGCCGAGACCCAGCCAGCCCCGGCCCTTCTGGCCTCATCAGACAGCCCGCTCCACTGCGGCCAGGAATCCAGAGTCCACGTGGCCCTACAGCCTGGCTGGCGGCTCCTTCAGGGTCCCCTGGTCCCTGTTCCCTTTGGAAGCCCCAAGGCCAGACCCCAATCCCAGCCACTCTCTCCTCTACGCTAAGGGCCCCCAAATCTATCTTCAGCCCCACTGCTTTCCTAAACCCAAGAATGATGCACACAGCTGCCCACTCACCATCTCCCCTCCACCCAGCCTCTGCTCGAATCCTCTGCTCCAATCTGCTCGGGGCTGAGCCAGGGAACCGCCTTAGCTCCGAGGAGCGACACGGCACCAGGCCAGAGGAGGGTCTGGGTTGTTGGTGAGCAATTCATGCCCCACATGGGAGCTCTGGCCTCAAGGACAAAGTGGGGCCAGACAGCTCTGACCAGCCTGGGGTCCGGTGGTCCCTGGGACAAGGCCAGAAGCTCTGTTCTGGACCCACTGCCCCTGGGACTTCCTCCCGTGTCAACAGACCCACATCCCTGCATCCGTGGGGGCCCGTGGGGGCCGGAGAGAGGGCACATGGCCAGGTCTGGGGGTGGCTGGGCAGGTGCCTGGGCCCTTCCCTCCGCGGGGGTCACAGCATTGCTTGCACTGCTCCTCCTGGTACCAAGGGACCAAGCCAGTGTCCCGAAAAGCCCTCGTCAGCCAGAGCACACACACCGGCAAAGGCAGGGGCGCCTGCGGAAACCCCACGTCAGGGCACCTCGACCGCTCACTCTGCCTTCGGTCGCCTCGTGAGGACACACATTCCTAAGCCGCGGCCACAACAGGCACCCGGTCTGCACACTCCTGACACTTGGATCGGGAATTCAAGCCACGATGCACAACACGAGTCATAGGCGAACGGCAGTACTCACTGTCTTCTCCCGGACAAGGCATGCCTGGCTGCTCGGGGGTGCTGGGGAACACTGGAGAGAGGGAGAGAGAGCAGTCTGTCACTGAGTGTGGCCCGGAAGGTCCTACGCCACGTCAGGCCAACCGGATGAACCCCCCACAAAGCCCACATTGCCGACCAGCCTGCTCTGAGGGGATGCTCCTTGTGGCACAACTGTGGAAGCCCAAACCTGCTTTAAAAGGACTTCGAAATGCAGTGAAAACCTCTGGGGGAGAGGCAGTGGGGGACCCTGGACCAGGGCTGCCCCAGGAGGCCTCCCGACTCACAGCGGTAAATTAACACGCAAGTTAGGAGCGGCACCTAATTCAAAGTGGACTTTTGAAAGCACGTTAGACTCTGTTTTGCACTCAAGGTGCAGTTCAAAATTAAATATCTTAAAATACATCCTGGGCTTCCCTCATGGATTATTCAGGCAGGAGCTTACAAAGTATTAACACTTAACTGAAGCAACCACTTCCTTATCTAGAAAATAACGCTGTCTTTGGAAGGCACCACCATCAAGAACGCCGGCCGGGCGAGGGCTCCCAGCACAAACCCCATGTCCAGGCAGAACTGCAGAAGCGGGACCCCGTAACCAACACTGGGCCCGCCCCAGGGAGAACATGGCCCCACGGAACCCCTGGTTGAGAGCACCGGTCCCAGCGGTGTCAGGTTTGGCCCGGCTGTCCCTGCCCACCTGCCTGGCCAAGGGTCTGGGCTGCACAGGAGTGAATGCAGACGTGGCTGGTCCGAACCACGCTCAGACACCCCGAAGAACCCCCAAGAGTGTCGGGGGGCAGCCTGAAACCCCCAATTCAGACTATACTGAAATCATAATAATTCCTATTTCCCATGATCAGTCTATAAAGCAGCTCTGAGCTTCTCAGATAACAGCTGTGAGCCGGGAGACAGGCTCAGGGGAGGGTCTCATCCACCCCAAGTGTCCCCTCATCCACCTGCCCTCCTACACTTGGGCTGGGACCCTTCCAGCTTCCCAAAAGGTGGAGGCCGGTGAGAGGGCCCAGGCTTCTGATGTACCAGTGATGCTGGCCTCCAGGGAACGGTGACAGTGAGGACCGGCAACCAGAACCCGGGCCCCTGTGTCTAGTGAGAAGGAGCTTTTCTGACTCTTTATCAGCTATGGCAATTTTATTTGGGTTAACAAGGTGTAAGAGAAGAAACAAACCCAAATCACACTATATTCAACATCCTTAAGTTCTCTGGAATCCTAAGATTTTAAACCATGATCCCCGATGTGTTCTCTAGTCCCCCTGGCCATCTGGAAACCATGCTGGGCTCCCACCACCCCAGACCACAGTGGCACCACCCCCCACCCCCCCCCGGCTGCCACTGACCGTGAATGGTGAGCCCCTCGTCCCTGCGCTGACAGGCCAGACGGAAGGCCTCCTCCAGCTCCATCTGGGAGGACACGGTGCAGGGGTCACCTAGGCAGGGCAAGAGACATCACTGAGGCTGCCGCAGGCCTGAGGCAAAGGGGTCCAACTCAGGCTAGGAAGGGCAGGGTCTGGCTGCTCCTGACCAGTCGCCCACTGCGGAGCTGGGAGACCCGAGAACGGGTAACAGGACGGGGGGGTCCACATCAGAACCAGCGGATCCCCAGTACAAGCCCCGAGAAGTCTACCTACAGAGCCAAACCGTGCTAATGTTCCTGGCTTGGACAAGATGAAGGACATTCTTCTTAGGTTAGTCCTCGGTGAAAGGAAAGGCTCCCTGCCCCCATCCTGGAGAGGAACACAGAAAGGCACAGAACCAACGTCCCAGGGGGTTACTCTGCGGCTCCCCTGGCTCCCCGTGTCCTCGTCTGGCAGCTGGACTGTGTCCCCACTCCCTAGCTTTCTCAGATGTGTGTCTGACTGAGAGAGAGAAGGATGCAGAGGGGGAGGGAAGAGGGGGGAAAGGACACTATGGGGGCCTAGCTACTTACCCTCCAGCACTCCCTGAGATGAAAATAAGAAAGAGCTTATCCTTCCAAATCACCCACTGGAAAGCCCAGAACAGGAGAGAGGGAAGGAGGGCAAGGGCTGGCCCCAGGTAGGGACAGAGACCCTTGCAGCCCACTCCCCATCTGCCCTTCCCTGCCCCCGCCCCCACCCAGCTTCCGTTTTGACCAGCCTCTCCAGGAAGTTATTTCCAGCACCCTACAGGGGAAGACGGCTGTTAACTAGCTTAATCCCATAATTTTAAATCTCCTCACAGAGGGGCTGACCTAACAACGGACAGAGGAGATCCAGAGATTTGCAGTCGGACGGACAGAAGACCAAGGGCTCTACCTTCACTGTCCACCCACTTAAGGGTGAGTGGGTGTCCCTGATGGAGACCGCACATCTCTCTCACTTCCTCACAGAGCTCCTCGAAGGTCATGGCTGCATCTAGGCTGGTGATCAGGATGTCCCTGGGGCAAAGAGGGTGGACATGTGTCACCAAGAAGCATATTTAAATCAAATTAAATACTGGTTAATTGAGTTATTGATTACACAGAGGAAAATTTTCCCAAACAAAATATCACAGGCCCCCCAAATAGAACCACTGGCCACAGTCTTGTTTTCTAATCACTATCACGAATGCCCTTGCACGGAGAGGAGAGACCTATCCCGCACCTGGATGTCCCTAAGAGGGGAGGCAGGGGTGGTAAGCATGAGGCAGGGTATCAGAAACCAGGCGAGCACTCGCTCAGGCACCAGGTTCCAATTCAAAAGGTCACGTAGGAGGGGTGCGGGGGTGGGGTGGGGTGTGGACACAGTTCGCTCAACTTAAGCCCACTGGCTTCATCAGACCTTCCCCCAAAGCAGATGACACAAACAGCAGCCTGGGCTTGAGCTGGAGAGAAGGAAGACCCCGCGTGGCTGTGCCTGTGAGCTCAGAAAAGTGGATGTCTGAGACTCGACCTGGCAAAGCAGGGTCTCCAACACCAGTGTGCCTCGCCTGGAGGTCCCCCAGAAACACAGGTGCTGCTGGACCCCAGTGTTGGCACATCCTCCAGAGGCCAAACTGGGGGCCCCCTATTTTTCAGAATGACATCTTCAATGGGTCTGACCTCCCGCTGCGGCCCTGCTGCCCCCAAACCACCTTCCAGCAGCGAGAGGGCAGCACAGTCCCACCCAGAGACAGAACTCAAGGGGTCGAGGGGTCGGTCAGACAAGTGCAGCTCCTGACGGGTGCCTCCCAGAACCAGCCTCATTAGAGCACCGAGGCCTGCCCCTCCCAACTCAGAAGGGGAGGCGTCAAGTCCCCCAGGAGAGGGACCAGGCCAGAGGCAGAGAGAGGTGAGGTATGGCAGGAACCCCAGTGCGGCCTGGGACAGAACCGAGGACTGAAAGCACAGAGGGACAAAGGAAGAGTGGGAGGAAGAGAAGGAAGAGAGGAAAAGGGACGGGAAGGGTGGGGAGAGGAGGAGAGCGGAAAGCGGGGGGGGGGGGGGGGGGGGGGGGAAGGGAGGGAGGGAATGAGAGGAACAGATGACTGGGGGCCTCGTCAGCCCAGGGAAACTAGAGCAACAGGTCACGTTACTGGCAGTAACCAAAGCGCTCTCCAGAGGCCAAAGTCAGGGGCAGGGCTGGGGACAGTGGAAGCTCCGTCTGGAACTCCCAAGGGCTGCAGTCAACTTTGCCAGAGACCAGCCTTGCCTGCCTCCATCCCTCCCCTCAGTGCCTGAAGGAGGGTACTTGAACCCAGCCCAGAGGCAGCCTGGGGGGCGGGGGGGGGGGTCCAGTCCCCACCCACCCTGGGCTGCTGGGGTGCGGACCTACTCTCACTGAGGAGCAACCCTGATTTTTCCCAAAGGAGCTTACTCAATCCCGCGATTCCTGGATGGGAAGAGGGCTGTCTCCGACACAGGGTCCGCCTTCCTCAGGGTTCACCCACCAGCAAGGCAAGATGTCTGGCCCTCCCATGAGTCTGAGAACCAGTTTTAATAGGCAAAGCACCCTTCCAGGCCAGAAGTCAGGACTCGGGGCCCTCTTCTTGGGAGGCTGGCCATCCTCCCCCCAGAACTCATTCCTCCTAGAGCCCTGTCACCAAGTCTCCCACACACGGTCTGCTCCCAGGTGACCCAGGTGAGGCGGGCAGAAAGGACAGGGGAGTTCCGACCTGAAACCCCAAACAGGGTGCCCTCGCGAAGTCAAGGGCCCCAAGCCCCTCCTCAGCCTGGAGATGTACGCGGAGATGCACCCGTGAGACCACCGAGACCACCGGCGTAAAGAGGCCGCCGCAGAGGAGCTGAGCTCCCGCCCGAGCGCCGCGCTCGGGCGGAGGCAGGATCCGCCCTCCGGGCGCCTCCCGCCCCAGGGCTGCTCCGCGGGAAGGGCCAGACGCTCCCAGCCTCTGACCCCTGAGATGCCTGCTCGCCCCATTTTACAGCGAGCAGGTCGAGTCCAGAGTCCGAAAGATCCGGTCCCAAAAGAGCGGCACCTGGAGACGCACGCGGACCCCCCTCCCCGCCCCGATTCGCGCCCCCGCGGGTAGCTCAGCGCACCAGACCTTCCCCTGGGTCGTCAAACTGTTCTTGTATATGGAGACCTCTGGCCGGATAAATTGGGAAAAGTTTAGGAAATCCTTATGTTTAAAACTCTGCCCGCAGTTCCATTCGGCTAAAACTTCAGTCTTACAGGTTTGCGGCCGTAACGTCCAGTCAACTCCGCAGCGAACGTCAGGGCTGCGCCCAGGGCGGGGGAGCGCGCGGCGACCGCCGCCTCTAGCCCCGCAACCTCCTCCGGGCGGGCCCGGCCCGGGAAGACCTCACCGGGGCGGGCAGGGACCCGCGCGGCCGCCCGCACCCGCAGCGCTCCGCGCCCGGGCGCCAGAGGACCCGGCGACCCAGCCCGCCCCGCGCGCTTTCCCGCCAAAGACGTCCCAGGGCGCCTCGAACGCCCGTCGCGTCCCGGGCCCCCTCCATGGCGACCGCGCGACAGGACCTCCCGGGGCGCCCCTGGGCCTGGAGGGGCCTCGCCGTCTCCTCCCTCCCGCGCCGCACGAGCGGCTACACCCTCCCCGACGGCAGGCGCGGGCCGGGCCGTCTCCCCGCGCCCGCGCTGCCCGAGGGCCCCCGGCCCCGCCGTCGGGCGCAAGGCGCTCACCCGCTGTAGTGCGCCTTCAGGCGGACGCGGCAGCCGCTCCCGTCCATCTTGGGACCGGTCCTGCTGGGCATGGCGAGCTCCGCCGGCCGCCGTCAGCGCCGCGCCCCGGGCACTCGGGCCATGGCGCGGGGACCCAGCGGCCGGCCGGGGCGCCAGGTGGGGCCGGCGGCGGAACGCGGAAGGGCGGGCGCGGCGCCGGGACCCAGGGCACGCGCGTGGGGCCGGCCAACTCCGCGGAACTTGGGTGGCGGGCCGGGCGGGACGTGGGCACGGCCGGCGGGGACGCGCGAGGGGCGCGCACGGAATCCCGGCGTCAGGCCCGGGGGGTGGCGCGGGGCGGGGGGGGGGCCGGACCTGGCCGACCCGAGGCCCAGCGGGCGGCCAATCGGCGGGACGGGCGGTCCCGGGGCGGGGGCGGTGGCACCTGCGGCCAATGAGGGCGAGGCGGGGCCGCTACCTGGGCCAATCCCCGGGGGTCCCCGCGGCGGCGACCCAATGGCTCCGCGCGGGGCGGACTACCTGTCGGGCGGGGCGCGGCCCACCTGCGGCCAATGGAGGCGCGCGCGGCCCGGCTCTGCCCGGCAACCGGAGGCGGTGCGCGGTCGGCCCAGAGCGCCGACCCCTCGGGGAGGTGGGCTCCGGGCACCGCGCTTCCCAGGTGGGGCCCCTGCGCTGCAGCGCCCCGGGAACCTATTGGAAATGCTACCTCGGGTGCCCAAGCCCAGACGCACGGAATCGAAACTCCAGCGGTCTGTGCAAACCAGCTCTGGGTAGTTCGCAGGTGAGCGCGATCCGAGAGCCGCTGGTCTAGGGGACAGTGGGAAAGGGTCGCCAGTGACTTGAGGGATGGGAGCAGAGAACCCAGCCAACGTCGCGGGGACGGTCCGGCTCAGTTGGTTCTCTCGCCCCAGCTGCTCTCCTCTCCTTCCGGAATCCGAGATCCTGTTGTACCGAAGTCTTGTCTACACTAGCTGGCGGTTCCCTCTGCTCCGGATCACTCCTCGGCCCGGACAAGGACACTGCATTTACCCACGTCGCCCGTGACCTTCATTTCTGAATCTCCAGCCTCCGTGAGTCTTAATAACCCTGCGGCACTTGATCTGGACAGTCTCATCCGGACACTCTCCAGGGCCCTGAGGGGCCGCATCCTGGTTGCATCCCCAGGGCCCAAATCTGCGTTTGCATGACCTCACCTGGGCACCAGGTGGGCCCCCCAGCTCAGGTCGGCACTCCCCTCGTCCTCCCCTTCCCCACACCACCCAGCTGGCAACCTCTGACCCGGGACTCCAGGCCTGGCCAAGCCTTCATGCCCCACTTGGACAAGCAGAGGGGCTTCCAGGACTCCCCACACTTTCATTCCCTGGACACTTCCTGGCACCTCCTGGGAACCAGGCCCTGGGGTGAGCCTGGAGAACCAAGCAGACAGTCATGGACATGGAACTCGTATTCTCCCTAGAGATAGACCCAGAGAAACCTGTTGAAAACCTGCCTTTCACCTACCTAAGATGCTGTCAGCTGTCCCCACCTGTCTGTTTCTCTGCTCCTCTTTACAACAAACGGCCAGGAGTCTGCAGTCCTCATGCCTGCTCCATCTCCCACTACTTTCTCCTGAGCAGCCCCCACCCCACACCGCACTGTCATCAACTCCCATGTTTTGAATACAATGGTGCATTCTTAGACTTCTTGGTTGACCCTTGGCAGTTGTCTGGCCCCTCCTAGAAGCTCTTACCCTAGGGTGCTGCTCTCTGCCTTTCCCCCTGCTCCCCCCTTCTCTCCCCTGCATCTCCCTCTGCTGCTTCCTCCTGGTCTCACTCTTAAATGCCCCCTGCCTCTGGCCCCTGTGTCTCATTTCCACTCAGGGCTCCAAACACCAACCCGAGGCAAGTCGCTCCCCCGAGTTCCTGCTGAGCCTGACCCCCCCACATGCACACACATGACATACACGCACACACACACGCACGCACGTGCGCGCACACACACATCCTCTCACCCTAGCGGATCTTGCTCAGTTCAAAAACCTCCTTTCCGGGACGCCTGGGTGGCTCAGTTGGTTAAGCGGCTGCCTTCGGCTCAGGTCATGATCCCAGCATCCTGGGATCGAGTCCCACATCAGGCTCCTTGCTCGGTGGGGAGCCTGCTTCTCCCTCTGCCTCTGCCGGCCATTCTGTCTGCCTGTGCTCGCTCGCTCTCTCTCCCTCTCTGACAAATAAATAAAATCTAAAAAACAAAAAAAACCTCCTTTCCTTCTTACACCCCACACGCCTCCGTCTGCAGATCCTGACAGCACCACCTTCAGCATATTTCCAGATTCCTGCCACATCCCACCACCTCCGTTGCTACCCCTGGTCCAAGGCACATGCAGCAGCCTCCAATTTCCTTAAAAACATAAAACATGTCCATGTCCATCAATCTGGTGTTTAAAACCCCTAGTGATTCCGACTGTTCTCAGGAAAAGTCCATAGGCCCTACAGGATCTGGGGCCCCACTCCCTTCTGCCTTCATCTCCCACCATCCTCATCCTGCCTCACTCCCCTCCAGATACCTGGCCACTTTGCTTCCCCTTGCCTCAGGGCCTTTGCACATGCCGACATCCCTCTCCCAGAAGCACATTTGCCCAGACCCACACTTCCTTTGAGTCTCCACTTAATATCCCTGATGCCCGGGTTACTCAGCTTCCCTGCTGCACCCTGTGGGTGATCCCTCCACAGCCCCAGCATGGCCACAGAGAGCTCTGTGGCTGTCAGTTGGGCGCAAAGGGGATGGGGTACAAGGGTTTGCCACACCAGGGGAGCAGCATGGTGCCCATGGGGCTGAGCAGGAATCTGCCACAGGAGCAGAATCAAGGTGGCAAGTGTGTGTGGGATGCACCTGTCCCTGTGTCAGGCCCCTCAAGCAGCCCATGGCCGGACTGTGGCCTTGTGCCCTTGACCGTCCAGAGCCCAGCCTGGCACATGGCCTCAGGCAGTCCTGACTGGAGGAGAAGAACAAGGTTGCATCTCAGTGGGCACAGACCATCTCCGAATGGAGGGGGATCCTCTGATACCCCACAGCATCTCCCTGGCATTCTGATTTCCGGCCTGAAAGGCAGGGCAGGAAGCAGCAAGTCCAGGTCTGGATGCCCACCACCCGCTGTCGGCAGGATGGGCCAGCGTCTGTCCATCTCACTGCGTCACCATTTCTTTGATGTCCCCCACCAGACACAACAGCCAAGTCGGACCCCAGAGCCCTTTCTAACCAGGGAAGCCCTTGCTGGGGTGAGAGCCTCAAGGGTCCCGGTGCCCTTGTGGGGACTGACCTCACCTGTGATCTGACCTGATATGCGGAACCTCTGTCCCGGAAGCCGGTACCGGCAGCATCTGGAGCTGCAGCACCCCACCCCGGGGAGGGAAGACGGTGGGGGGCGGGGCAGAGCCTGAAGCTGCAGGGTTTGAGGGCCAGGTGTGGGGGGGGGCTCTGCTCTCCATGAGGGTTGGCGGGGAGAGGCCTATTCCAGGAGGAGGGCCAAGGGAAGGGTCTAACCCGAGTCTCTTATGCATCCTGTCCCAGGCCCGGGTGAGGGCACATGGGTCATGTGCAGTGCCCAGAAAACTTTCCTGTGGCCCCTGGGATGTGGAGGACTTCGGCTTTTGCATCCTCCCCCCAAAACAGCTCTGCAAAACAATGGGTCCCCTGCCACCAGGCCTGTGGACAGTCTCCAGAGGGTGGGCAGCCTCCGCACGCCCCCCCGCACCCCGCTAGGGCCTCAAGAGTAGAGGGCGCGGTCCGGACCGGCCAGCAGGTGGCCCCGCAGGCCGCCAAGCCCTGGCAACAGGCACAGGTGTTTGTCCCCAGATTTTCCAACCACCCCCCACTCCACACGTGACAGGGGTTGGGATCCAGTCAGCGTAGGTCCCTGCTGTGTCCCCATGGTGTCTGAGTGTCTGGCACATCATGGAATGAATGAGGGAGGGAATGAATAGGCAGACACCCCTCAGAAATGCCAATCCGGGCCATGTGCTGAGGGGCCCTGGACAGGACTACTGCCTCCCAGTCTGCCAAGTGAGGGGATGGGGAGGGGGAAGGGGGGGTGGACTTGGTCGCCGAAGGACAGACCTGCCAAAGTCCCTGGGGCTAAGGACAGGTCCCTTCCAGCTCTCAGCAGCTTCTATTTCCCAGCTCTCCCTGCCAGCGCCTCATATGCCTTCATAATGACACTTATTATTTCCAAAATGAAAAAAACACAAAGGTGTGGGCTTTTAAAAAGGAATTATTAAAGTGATAGAGGCTTGCTGTAAGTCTGCAACGTCACAGCAGGGGGTCAGGAGAGACCTCAGCAGCCCTGCCTCCCTCCTCTCCCGACAAACCCCACAGGGAGGTCGTCCCTCCCTTGTCACCTGGGACCCCAGAGCGGCGCTGGTTGGGGAGGAGGGTGGCCAGGCCCCACTTAGCTTGGCCTCTGATTTCCTCCCATGAATGTTCTTTATGAGGGTGCTTTCAAATGACATAGAGATGCTTTAGGGGTGGGGTGAAAGCCAGGTGGAGTTTAAGCTCCGTTAGACTCATCAGACACAAGCAAAGGCCTCGGTGGGGGTCCCTCCCGAAAAGACCTCCCTGCAGAACCCCACCCAGGGGCCTGCCTTCCTCATCAGACCCCACGGACTGCATCAGTATCCCCTTGGGACTGTCTAGAAGGAGGTGGCTCTCGGGGCCTCCTGCCTGGTGTGAGACCGCCCCTGGCAGTGAGGACCACCACAGGCTCCGGAAGCCCAGGGCGTGTGCTCACACACAGCTGGGAGAGGGGAAGGGCAGCAGGCGTTTCCTTTCTTTGTCATAGAGGACGGGATTTGGAAAAACTGGTTCAAGAGACAACATTCCCTTCCCTCGCCCATTAATGTGTTCAGTGGGTGCTGAGCACGGGCCTGCTGGGTGCTGAGACGCTGGGGCGGATTCTGCCAGATGCGCCGGCTCTGTCATGGAAACCGCACACCGGTGGGGAGATGGGCGCCCGTCACTGGTCACACAGATGTGGCAGCTCATAGGGAGAGCCGGGTCTGACCAGGTCCCCGGGAGAGAGCCTGGTGATGGGATGGGGATGTGTGCTGTGAGGCAGGAGAGCAAGACAGGCAGGCTGGGTGGCTCTTGCACAGGCTCTGTGGCCCCAGGGGGCAGGGTGTCT